AAAAACAATTTTGACTATTTTAAGGAGCTGATCAATTAAAGTCAATGAGACTTTTTTTTTTTTCAGGCTCACGTGAAAGCCTGAAAAAAGAGAAGCTGCTTTAGTGAATAGCAGAAGGTTGCTCATGCTAGGCCCAACATACTTCTTCAAATTACTGTCAAAGAACCGGCATTCATGAAGCTTGGTTTGGCTGCAAAGTTGTCCAGTTCTAGTGAGCTACTCTGAAATAGGCTTTTCTCTTTTAAGAGAACCCTTCGGCACCTCTTTAGCTTTTAATAAGCTAAATACTGGGGCATCTAGATGAGATTCTTAGGCAAAAGGTCCCAAGGGTCTGACTCATCATTTGTAAAAAGTCAGTGAGGTTGTCTAATACATCTTCCTCCTCGCAGGAGTCTTTGAGGCTGTACCTTTTACAATCTTTCATTCAATATGATCCATAAATGAACTATTATATGTTAGTATGTGTGTTCAGTATTAATCAACAAAAAAACGAGTAGTTGCTCTCATAGGTTATTTGACGGGAAAATCATTTCCAGACCACTTTATAATGCAGGGGTGTCAAACTCGCAACGTCACGTGACATGTCATGACGTATCACGACTTTTTCTCCGTTGCCGGCAATGGGGTGGGTGCAGTTTCAGCATGACACATCCGGCCCATGGGCCAGCTGTTTGACACCCCTGTTCCAAAGAGATAAGTAACTCTGAAATGTTACAGATAACAAACTTAGTATTAGTGGAGAGCTTATAAGCCATCTAATGTTTGAAAATGATTTAGTATGTTTACATTTGTCATTTCACTCCAGCACATTTAACAACTATTTTGCTACAGCTAGCATTCTGAATAATTTGATCATAACCAAAAGATTGGTTCAAAGAGCTAATCTGACCAATAATTCTGTTTTAATAAACTAATAAATCTTAATAGAAGTATGAAACACTACAGCACACAAAATTGCATGTTTTACCATTGAATATTTTTGGGAATTTAATTATATAGCTACATAGCAGGAGCGAAGTTGTATTTGAAGTTGTTTTCAGCATCCTTTTCTAAAATGTACTTTTTAACTTTTAAAGAAAAATATTATTTGGGACGACCAACAATGGCTTCTATTAGTTATGACCAGTTATATATACAGTATATATATATATAATAAATATTAAAATACTCATATTGAATGGTTAATTACAGATTAAAGTGCAATTTTTATGATGAAAAGTATAAAGAATATAAATAGTTGCATAAGATATTGTTACAGAATGGCATTACAATACATATATTAATTTAACTGGGGTATTGCCATTAATTTTACTGCACTAGTGAAATTGGGAAGAAAAAATTAGCAGTTTAGTACAACTTAACAAAATTAACAGATGCATTTATCTAAATATTAAATAGAAATAAATTGCTATGTCAAAGTGTGTCCTAAGAAATCTGCATATTTTGTTTGTTAGGAAAAATTAACTATAGGGTATTTATAGTATGGCACAAGATCTTCATTGCTGTTCTTCTATGTTAATGTCATAGATTTCTCTTTAATTCTTAAGGTTTTTTTTAGAGGATATGTGATCACTTCCTTATGTCTACCTTAAAAGCATGTTAAAATTGAGCATACTGTGAAGGCATGATAATTGCAACTCTGTGCTGATAGGGATGCACCTGAGAGCATATTAAGGTAGTAAAGTAAGAGTACATTCCACTTCTAGGGTAGTCAGAAATTCATGATCTCCATAGTTGTTATAGATTGAGTTGGTATGTGAATGGATGATGAAGGACATTGTACATAGACTTTTGCTATGATGAGATCACTTCCTAATATGGATAATCTCCTGGCTGCTGGTGACTTCCATAAGTGATAATGATTAAGATGGTTTCTCTTAGGTGTCTCATGGATTCTAATGGATTTTGGGCATTTTTCAACCACCTTGAAAGGTAATAATGCTGAGCCTCTGATTATGTTCTTATTCTCAAAGGCAAGATATAATATTTGAGCAACCTGTTTGCAAATCCTGGGAATTTTGGACTAAGCAGGGACTTCCAGCAAATGAAGTTTTAGAAGAAGCACCTGGAGTGCTAGGGGAAGAAGACTAAGATTGAACTTGACTGAGTATAGGTAAACTGAGCCAATCATATCAATAAGGGCAAATGTAGACAGTAAAGAAGATGACCTTGATGGAGATATGTAGGGTCCATTGCCTAGGGCAGGCATGTCAAACTTGCGACGTTACATGACGTCGCGCAACGTATCGCAACGTATCGTGGGCATGGTTTCGGCGTGATGCATCCGGCCCATGGGCCAGCAGTTTGACATGCCTAGCCTAGGGAAAAGGGGCTGAAGCATTTTTTAACTCTATAATGAGATAACATTTGGAAGTGGCACAGGAGGATATTTTTGTAATTCACAGTAAGAAAGAGGTAGAACTACAGAACAGCTATGCAAGATTCTGTTGTTATAACAATGTCAATAAAAATAGTTCTAGCTTATCTGTGGAATTGATTTCCTAGTTTGATCTGTCTAATAGCAGACTTGCTCCCTTATGGGAGTGATGAGCAAGAAGATTTGCCAAACAGCCCCAATGAGTCAATCACATAACACTTTGCTGGCAAAGTTGCTCAAATTCACTCAGGCCATGGGTCTGAGGAGAAACAGTCTCCTTAAGATTTGGACAACATCCTCCTGTTTGCTTTTAGGAAGGCTATCAAGCTGAATTCAAGCTATTTCAACCTGTAAGAGCTGTTCCCACTAATTATGGATGATGGGTTGATTTCTGGATTTTATTGTTTGCATGTTTTTATGTAATCTTATATTTGTAAAGCAAACAGGAATTGTTCGGAATGCAGCAGTATATAAAACAATAAATAAATAAGCAAACAAACAAACCAGCTTTAAAAGAGTGGCAAAACGTACATGGATTTTAAAAAAGCAAGTTATATCTTTATGTACAAGGTGGGCTGAGTGAGGATGCTGTGAAACTACTTTTACTCAAAGAAAAAAAAATGCTGGCTCTGCCAGAGCTCTTGCATATGGCTAAGATAGAAATATGGAGCTTAGTCCTTGTCCTGATGCTTTACACTTTGAATATTCTGAATGCTGTGGAGAAAGAATTAGTCATGGACTATTGTCTATCATTGCAGATGGTTTAAGGAAACAAAGATGGTGATGCTGAGTGGGAAACATTATTCAATATTTGGTGACAGATGAATTTGGATAAGCAAGATATGGATGATGATTTCCTAAACAAGAGTAAACCAGAGAAGATACTATACTGTACTAATAAGAAAAGCAGAATATCTGAGGGAAGGATAATTTGTTGGGGGGGGAGAGGTGCTGAATATTACAGTTTATATTAAATTCACATAAAATTTGGAATGATCTCCATAAAATTCTTCAGATAGTCAAGGAGGAAGAGATCAACAAAGCAGATTACGAGCCATGCATAATATGTACAGATTCTTTTTCTGATTCACTTATTTCCATTTGATAACCATTGTTGTGGTTTATAAATTGTACAGGACAGCCCCAGCCCTTAGCTGTCATGGAGAGATGAGTCTCTGATGTCAAGAAGCTTAAATATCAGCAGATCTATTTATACTAGACAGTCACTGTTTATTATTAAAATAATTCCAAACTTTCATATGATACATTGTATTATTACATTTCAGTGTACATCTTATTTTCTAAAATACTGTATACAATTCTTTTCAATGTTTAAAACGTGCATAGTGCACATGCATATTTCATTTTTGAGACTAGCTTTGGGTGTAGAAAAAAACAGTAGAGGTAGGCTGTTAGATTATACAGTAGCATATTATTAATATCAACATCAAGTCATTTTTATGTTTTCCAATTAAGCAAAATGCATTCATTAAATAAATGAAATATTTGTTCTTGTTACATACGAATTGACGTTTATAGTTCAGTAGAGCCTGACTTTTTTCTCCCTCTTTGAAATAACATGTTTTTCAAATTGAAGAATTGTTGTTTATTTTTGTTTTTCACAGGAACAAAAATAAACAGTTTTAATTTGCAGTATTGGTGGATGTGTTATTGCTCACTGATATGAGTGGCATTTTCATAAAGGAAGTTCCAAGAAAGTGAAATCCTATCAATATTATGTTTTTATATAAGGAGATTGAGTTTATTGTGTGATTCTTGATTGTGGGAATCATAAAATAAGTGTAAGAAATTTGAAGAAGTACCAATAAAAATGGGCATGAAACACATCATATACAATAAAGACAAAGCTTGTCAATAAGAGAAAGGGAGAAAGGGTTGCATGGTCCCTACAGTCCTCCTTCTGCCTTGAAATTTTTAGGCAAAAATGTAGAATACACTGTTTATTAACATGTTTATTAAATAGAAAGCATGAAATAGTATATGTCATAGGCGGACACTCATATTTATCTAGGATAGTAAAACATCAGTAATCTGATAATTAATAAATTTAATTAAAAAGCATAAGCTTTCACTGTTAGGTAGGGAAAATGATAACACACCTAAAATAATCAATTGCCCTAAAAATAGTAAATATGATGATCAACAGATTTAAAATATTTTAAACATTATAATGAATTGACATACTGTGCATAGTGTAAATGATGTGAAACAATTTTGATGGCTGCAATTCATCTCATCATCAGACTTCTCTGCTGTTCTTATATGGCATCATAGTTACTCTTTACTCTTGTTAATGACTCGGAGAATATATGACCGCATCCAATGATTCCTTCAGGGCTGTATGATAAAAAATTAGTTAGCCTCTGTATCACTTTTGCTTACAGAATGCAAGAAATTTGAAATACTATGAAATAAATATTGTTTGGCCTACTTTTCAAGACAGACTTTTCATTCTGATTCCCAATTACAATGTAGTTAAATGAAAGACATTCTCTGTCTCTTGAGGTATTCCTCTCCATTCTTAATCTTGTATGATCAGAGGAAAAAAGTATTTGCCTGCTATTTTTTGTCACATGTTCTGCTTTCTCTGTTCATCCAACAGAAAGGAGAACCATGTTGCAACATTTTTTCATTCGAGGCAACAGAGCAATTGACTTTTGAAATTCCTTTGAATGATTCGGGTTCAGCTGGACTTGGCGTGAGCTTAAAAGGCAACAAATCTCGAGAGACAGGGGCAGATCTTGGAATTTTCATCAAATCTATCATCCATGGTGGTGCTGCATATAAGGTATTTTATTTGTATTACTTTCATCTTGAATATTTAATTCAATATGATCTGTAATTATTTTGACATCGGCTCTTGGGAACATCAGATAGGTATTTTCAATATCACCCCAAAATACCTTGTTTTGGATGCATTTTGAATATGAAACTAAAATAGGTTGAGATTGTTATACAATTTTATTTAGTTTATCAAATATTTTACTAATATTACCTTAGTAAGAAATATATGTAAAATGTATACATCCTATTTTATATACCTTTCTGTTATATGGTATTAACAACTACATTTGTTATTTCAATGCTAAATGAAGTTATTTCAATCCTTTTGAAACTTAAAATAATTTTTCCTCCTTTTGAAAAGGATGAATATATAATATTTTTATAGGAATGAGATGAATTATTTTTTCCATTTCAGTGAAAAGTATGTATATACTCTGGAATGCACCTTAGCAAATATCAATATTGGAAAATGTTTGCATTTATAGAGTAGGGTCCTTGAGTTTTCATATTTTAATTAAAAGATTCATACACGACAAACTTATCTTAAATATCAAGTCACTAGGGCACCTTCATGAAAACACGCAACACAGATGGAGCCGTAAATCAGCACAAAAGAAATCAAGAGTCTCATTTCTAAGTTTAAAAAGAAATAATTTACCTGGTTCATGAATTCAAAGAGTATATATTCTGTCTGCACAGAAAATTAAAATAGCTTGATTATATTTAAATAAATAAAATAGTACTGTGGAATTAATTATATTAAAGGCAACATTAAAGACAAAAATATTATAGGAAAAGGAGGAGGGGCAGAGGAGGAGGAGGAGGAGGAGATGATCTGGAGTTTTTATCATGTTGTGCTGTTACAAAGCTATCTTATTGGCTGTACTATTTGTTTATTTATGAGTGGGGAATGAATGGATCTAAATACCTCCAACTTTACACATTCTATCTTATTGATTTAATAGTATAAATGTGATTTTTAAAACATTTTCAATTCCTGAAGATTATATTTCCCTAAAAAACAGTTGTTTCAAAAATGCATTTGTCTTTACTTTCAAGGAGAAATACAAGTTTCAATACAATCTATGCATTGTAGGGTATCTATTAAGTAATATTAAATAAATGGTAAGTGTTCAGTACTTGTTTGGATATATCTCACTTTCCTCAAGATAATCATCCATATTTTTGTATTTAAACATTTATTTGCAACCACAGGTTTTAGCAAAATACATATAAAATTATAGCAATCATATCAGTTCAATACATCCCCCATAGTAATAACTTCACTGTTTGTCAAGGTGTGCTTTTGTGTCTTTCTTGTATCCATTGCAAACAATTCAACTTGTTTTGTTACATGTTTATGCTTTCAATATAAAATAGATTTTTTTTCTTCTAAACTAGATTGATTCAGTTGGGTTAACAAGAATGTAATGAATCTTGCCCTGGGTTCTTGTTAAAATTTGCAGTATAATAAGTAATGGGCCAAATCTTCCACCTATAAGTTATTACAAATACATAAACATGTGTATTTGCTAATGCTTTATACCTGCCATCCAAATAGGCTGTTTGAGAGTAATGTTCTTTAAAGGGAACAGGGGAACAACATTCTCGGGGAACATGATGTAAAAGATTGTAAATATTATGACATTCCTTATCCTTCTTTAAAAAGTTGGTGCCACTTACTTAACTTAAATTTACATACCTGTTCTCTATCTTGGCGAAAATCTTTAAAAAATAAGTAGTCTCTCAATAATATATAATACTTTATGTTACTTGAAAGCTCCTGATCTAACGAGAATTGTGTGAGTAGAACAGATTCATCCATCTATTTTCAATAAATTGTTCATGAAGGCATTGTTTTGCCAAATAAGTATCAGGCATGAGGACTAGTTTCCTATAATATAAAATTATAGCTTTCTTTACCCTTATATTTATTGATGGAAGGGCATCTAATCTCAGTATTGCTGCAGATATACAATGGGGGTAAGGCTGAAATTGATCTTTCAAATTTAATCTGGACCACTTCTAATTCTTCTAGTTTACTGAAATCCCAAATTGGAGCCCCATATATATCAACTGTGATATTGTTTTTTCCTCCAAAAGATCCTACACCAGGGGTGTCAAACTGCTGGCCCACGGGCCAGATGCATCATGTGGAAGCCATGCCTACCGCAGCTCCGGCAAGGGGAAAAAAGTCACGATACATCATGACATGTCACATGACGCTGCAAGTTCGACACCCCTGTCCTACCCTGACTGTCCTCCTTTTGAGTAGAAGATGGAGCAAATGGTTCTCACTGATCTCATAGCCATGGATCTTGTTGATGCGGTATGACTCATCCATATCATGTTATATGGATGTAAGTGTATAAGCATATTCGTGTTCTTAAACTTTGACATTTGTTTATGAATATTGGATATGGAGGTTTTATTTTTGGCTGTATAATAAATAAATAGAATAGAACTGAGAAGAAAATTATGCATTTAACCACTGGAATTTAAATTGTTACCATCAGTGCTTCTTAATATTATGAAATAATTTATTTTAACCACAAATTAATATGGTAATGTGGATGTTGTACTATTAAGTTTAGACTTGTAGATCATTTTGTTTCTTGTTTAAATGTTTCAAAGCTTGTACCTTTGATGTGGTGTAATAATAAAACCCAGAGCCTGTCAGAGATTTAAAAAGACTCTCGGTGTTTGGATCAAGGTATCACCAAGCGCTCAGTCCCAGACTCATTGGTCAAATATGGTCAGGCACAGATCATAGTTCAGATCACCCCACAAGTAACATGTCATAATATAGTATGTGCACCATTAGGGACTGAAACAGTATTGCTTGCAAAACATGCATTTCTTAAAATATTCTCTGGTACACTCACTGTTCAGAAGAAGCAAACCAAACATGAAAATAAAGTTTCATGCTGTGGCAGAAAACTAAAATTTAACCAAAACAAAAGTATATTTAAATATATAAGCTATGATGTGCACTTTTAGATCCATTTATAGTTGTATGACGCTCCCACTCATTACTTTCTTTTGTCAAAGTTGCCGGTGGTGTTTCTCTGCAAAAGCTGAATCCCCATCACTTAGATCCCTTTTGAGTCTTTGTGGAAAGAATTTGAGACTCCTTTTTTCTCCCAATGTTTAAAAGGGGTTTTATTTCAAGAAGTCTGTGAGTCGGACATGCCTGCAAATTTTGAGGCTTAGGCTGTAGAGCAAGATTGTCGTTCACCAGAAGAAGTTAGATTTCATATACTGTCCAAAGATGAGGATGGGGTGTGTTAGGAAAATGAACAAGCCAGGACTATTATGTTTTTCATGGCAACACAAAGATGTACATCTTTCTCTTACAAGAGAAAACAGCAGAAGGGAAAGAGGAGAAAAAGACAGCAGACAGGCTCAATATAGCAACAAGAGAGAGTAGCTCAGGCTCAATATAGCAACAAGAGAGAGTAGACAATGTAATCAAGCCCATGATGTTTAATAAATATAGTTGTAAATAAAAAGAGACTTATAGAATACAGAATAACAGAGTTGGAAGAGACCTTGGAGATCTTCCAGTCCAATCTACTGTTTGAGCAGAAGACCCTATAACTTTCTGGACAAATGGCTGTCCAGTCACTTGTTAAAAACCTCCAGGGATGGATCCCCACAAGTTCCAGAGGCAAGACTTTCCACTGATTCATTATTCTCACTATCAGGAAATTTCTCCACAATTCTAGGTTGGATCCCTCCTTGATGATTTTCTGTTGGTTACGTCTTGTCCTGTTCCCTCAATGCTTTGGAGAATAGGTCAGCCCCCTTTTCTCTATGGCAGTCCCTCAAGTATTGGCAGACAGCTATCATGACACTCCTAATCCTTTTCTTGGTTAGGCTAGACACCCCTAGTTCCTTTAACCAATCGTCGTAAGACTTAGCCTCCAGATCTCTAATCATCTTTGTTGCTCTTCTCTGCACTCTAGAGTCTCAACATCTTCTATGCATCATGGAGACCAGAACTGGGTGGTCTTTCCACTGTAGTATAAAGCAGAACTAACACTTCACACAATCTTAATACTGTTCCTCTATCCACAGCCTAAGACTGCATTGGCAGTTGCAACTGCAGCACAAGCCATACTTAAGTGATTGTCCATTACAACACCTAGATCCCTGTCACAGTTACGGCTGTTGAGCCAAGGGCCACCGATTCTATACCTGAACATTTGCCTTTTCTTGCCTAAATGTAAGATCTTATTTTTCTCACCAATGAATTGCATTTTGATGGATACGGTGCAGTGTTCAAGTCTGTCAAGATCCTTCTATATCTTGGGTCTGTCTTCTAAACTGTTGGCTATTCTCCCCAGCTTTGGTGTTGTCTGCAAATCTGATAAATTCCCCTTCCCTTCCCTCTTCTAAACCATTTATGAAGGTGTTAAGAGCACTGGGCCTAAGACAGAACCTTTTGCTACCTCACAGCATTTAGATGTAGTTTCATTGGGGACTACGTGTTAAGTGCAGTTGATCAGCCAGTAATAAATCCCTCTGGTGGTGATGTTGTCTAGCTCACATTTTTCTATCTTACTAAAAGGTAGTACTTTAGTATTACTTTACCAGTTTGGGTATAGTCATTGTTGGATCTAGAACACCTAGAGGGTTAGACATAGAATACCTCCAGAATCCCTTCCAATCTTATTACAGTAGTCTGTGTTTTAGGTTTTCAGAGATCTGATGCTTCAGAATAAAAACAATTTCATGGCTGTGGGAGAGACACTCTTTGTCCGACTCCGCTGATGAAACCTGCCAGTGTGGTTAAACCTCTGGCATAGCTGTCATCTTCCTCAAAGTATGCAAGCTCCACAAAAACATCAAGGTAGCTATTATTATGATTCACTGAACAGTCAGCCAGATGTTCAGAATGGATGGGCATTTTCGTTCAACCTGTTGAGTCCTTCCCAAGACCTGGGATGGGCAGATGTTAATGTTTGATGGTTTTAGGGAGATTGTCACTGGGCATAGGCT